ACTAGAATCACAGACTCTTTCACCCATTAAATTAACAGGGGTTAAAAAAAAAAAAAGTGAGAATACCAAAGGCTGGAGAGCGTTTGGAGAGATGGGACTTGCTCACAGGCTGCTGGTTGGAGGGCAAGTCCATACAGCCTAACAAGGAGGGGGCACTGGCAACTGGGAATCAAAGCTCTGAAATGCGCACACACTCTTTGACTTGACAATTTCACTTGAAGGAATGTGCACCATTATTTATGGACAAGGATATTCATTAGCGTTATTTATAATAATGAAATGAATTGGGAACGAATTTGATGTCCAAAGTTTTCAATAGTGGGGGACTGGTTAAGTAAATTATGATTAAGCTCTGCTGTGGGTCTACATAACATCATGTTGTGGAAGAGCATTTAATGACGGGAGAAAATGTTCATGCCACATACACATGTGTTGGTATGTGCTCAGTCATGTCTGACTCTTTGCGACCCCATGGACTGGAGTTCTCCAGGATCCTCTGTCCATGAGGTTACCCTAGCAAGAATACTGCCATTTCCTTCTCCAGGGGATCTTCCTGACCCAGGAATCGAACCAGAGTTTCTTGTATCTCCTGCGTTGGCAGGCAAGTTCTTACCACTGAGCCACCTGGGAAACCCTACATACACATAGCAGGCTTAAAAAAAACCTGGAATGTTCAGTGTGCTGATTGTATAAAACAAAACAAAGCAAAAACAAAAAACAAACAAAAACCCTAGACTGGCAGGAAATACATTGAAACATCAGCAGTGAATTATTCATGGGTGGTGGGATTACAGACAATTAACTTTTTCTTCCTGTTTATCTGTACTTTCTGAATTTTCTACAATAAATACATTATATATATACATATATATAGTCAGAAACAAATAACACGTACTTTACAAAAAGGAATGAGGGAATTTGGGGGTGGAAGGGCTTGGCAAGTTGGCCAACTTGGATGAGATTGGGGAACCAAGCTTAGCATTTGGGAAGAAGCCCCTCTCTCCCCTCCTCCTGCTCCTGGACTCCCAAGAGAGGCATTTGTAAATAAAAAAAAAAAAAATGCACTCAGCTTTTTTTATTTTTAATTACAACTTGCCCAGTAATCACCATAATCACTTATCTCGGGCATTTGTTTAATTATTCAGTCACTAAGTGTCTATTGAGCACCCACTGTGATGCCAGAACCATACGAGACCCAGTGAACCCAAAAGACACAGACCTCACCCAAGGAGAACCTCTAACTTAAGGCAGCTTAGGAAAAACAGAAACAGGTACATAGTCTGTAATTTTTACATTTAAAAATAGTGATTCTTTGCCAATACTTACTGAGTGCTTCACGTGTATAAAATCTGGTGTCTGGTCCTCTGATTTCTTTGATTCTTTTTGTCTTTTACTGGATTGAAATAAGATTTTATGGTTAAAGAACAGATTTATTCTGCTTCTCTTCCTCCTCTTCTCTCAATGCACTCATATTCCAGTTTCACCTTTCTATGAAGAGTAAAGATGTAACCGCTTGTGGCACTGGGGTAAGTCATGGAGTGAGCCTTTGGTCACCTCCCCATCCCTGCATCTGGTCTTGGAGGTAAAAAGCATCAGCTCTGGAGTCAGGCAGCACAGTCTCAGCCTTGGGAAAGTCATTCTCTGTGCCTTGGTTTCCTCATCCATATAATGGGCATATTCATAACAGTAACCACCTCGTACAGTTGTTGTGAGGACAACACATACAAGTGTTTAGTGTGCTGTTGGCACATAATAACCACTCGGCAAATAACAGCTATTGACGTACAATTAGGTCTTGCTTTCCATCACCACAGAGGACCAGAAACCAAAAACTGTGACCAGGAAGCTGAGCTGTGATTACTTTCAAGGCTGTGCCAATTACACAAACAGGGACAGACTTAAATTTATTTGTTCAACAATCAATCACTGAGAGCCTCTTGGATGGCACCATACTTGGCTCCTCAGCTTCTGTGACAAAAGCATAGACCCTACCACAGGGAAGCTCACAGTCTAGTGCGGAAGGTCTTCCCAGGAGATTTAGAAATGGGAGAGGCTCTTGAGCATGGGCAGCCCACCCAGAAGCAGGGGGCTAGAAGGATGGCTTCCATAGGGTCCTTAGTTGACCCCACTTCCCCTCCTGCCTGTGCAGCCTCTTCTGTTGAGGTCAGGTCACCAGAGCCATCTGCTTCCCCACTATCGACCCCTGGCCAAAAGTCAGAGAGTGGGAAATGTGACAAAGCCACAGATCCAACTTGGCAACTCCTGGTGACCCTCAGGTTGTACCAGTTCCTCATCCCTCCTCCAAACTTTGTCCTGGGTGCTTTCTAGTCGTTCTCCTGCAGACAGGTCCCTCAAGGGCAGGAGACCATAGAGGCTTATCTCCATTCATCCCAGAGAGCAAGGACCCACTAGGTGCCAGGCTGATGTGTTGAGGACATGAGGGGACACAAAACAAGGTCCCTGCCTCCAAGGAGCTCCCATTGTAGCAGGGGCAGCTGGACAGGAAATACAGAAACAAATGAATAAGCAAAATCTCTGAAGACACTCAAACAGAGCAAAATGAGAGAGAAAGGCTGGGAGCTGTTTAGGGAGAAAGACTCCCTGAGGAGGTGACATGTGAGCAGAATGATGCAAAGAAGCAGCCGAAAGAAGGGCATTCTGGGCAGAGGGGACAAGTGCAAAGGCCCTGAGGTAGCGACAAGCTTGGTGATTTCTAGGGCAGCAAGAGGCTAGGGTGTTGGGACAATGTGACCAAGGGGAGGCAGTGACCAGATCTTGCTGACCATGGGAAAGAGTTTGTATTTTCTTTTAGGGAAAGCTCAGTAAATGCTAAGATGAAGAAAATGAGGAAAAGAGAATCTGATTTCAGCCCCTGTGAAAGGAATGGGGAGGGGTCGGGGAGGGGGAGAAGGTACTAGAGGTTTTCAAGAGGAGGGCTGATTTTGGGTGGAGTGCTTTCTTCTGGTCCCTCAGTTTGTTTTACTTTTTTTTTTTTTTGAGTTGGGGGTGGTGGGAAAGGAAGAGGGAGCCCTCCCTTTTCACCTCACCCCAATGTCCCCCTCCCTCCTCCCAGGCTTGCCACTGTTTCCAGCTTCCACCACCCCAGATGAGGTTCCCTCAGAGGAGATAGAAAGACATCTTGGGGGATGGGACAATTGTGAAGCATCCAAGGAAAAATGGAGGGAAGAATAAATGTTTTAATAAAAATTTGGTGGGTGACTGTAGCTTTTGGGGAGTGTGTGGAGGGGGGCAGTTGAGCCTTATAGTGGGAAAAGAGGGAGGGGAGAGACGAACAAACTCCTCAATCAGTTCCTCAGAGGCAAAGCCTCTTAGTTCATTTTTATCTCCCTGGCCTTGGGAAGGATGCACTCTTCACTGGGGCTCAGCAAATGCCTGCTGAATAAATGACTGAGCGCAGGGCTGTTGTGGGAGAAGAAAGGACAGACGAGGAGAAGGGAGGGAGAAAGGACAGGAAGAAATGAGAAGGAGAGGGAACACTGGATGTCCAGGGAGCAACGACAATTACTGGCATTGATCAATCACTGCCTTGGCCGAGTCACTTTTCCTTCATTAACTCATTTTAGCTTCTCAATCCACCCTGGCAATAGTACTATTATTATCCCCATTTTACTGTTGAGGAAACTGAGGCACAGAGGGGTCAAATATCTTACTCAAGGTCACCTGGCTGGTGAGGGACTGAGGTCTGATCCCAAAACCTGAGCTGCCTATCACATATTTGCACTGTCCTAGGAGTGGAATGAGCCCAAATCAAAAGTTAGAATACCTACGTCCCCACTTCTCAGGTCATCACTGCTCCCTAGTCCTGAGAGGCTTTGCTGAGATCTTGCAGATGATGCCCCGAAGTCTACCAAGCCCCAAAGGTGTTGAACAGATGGTAGCTCTTCCTCCTAGTTCAATGTTTCTCTTGAACACTTCTCCAAGTTGCTGGTCATACTCTGAATTTTTATTCATTTATTCAATAAATCATGTAGCTATTTGTTTACTATTGTAGTCAGTTTCTCCTTATCTCACCCTGGATGTATTTCCTCCTTTTTTTCAAGCCCATTTCCACCCTGTCCTTGTTCAAAAGGGAAAACAGGTACAGTGACTAGCTCAGTCCTGGCATGGTCTGGCTGTGAAAGGCAGGAGCAGAGCTACTGCTTCTGACTTCGAGACTCAGCCTGGTGTGGCCACCTCAAACCACCTGGGAGGTGGGCAAGTTGGGCAAAAGGACAAAAGGGGGGGTTGATCTCCAATGGAGTATGAAGGTCTCCCCTCAAAGAGGCCTTCTTTATCGCCTGGGCGAGGGAAATTAGCTCTCCCAAGATACTCTTTATCTTACTGCCTTGTTTTATTTTCCTCAAGATCCTTTCACTCTCTGAAATAATATTATCCATTTGTTTTAACGTACATTATCTGCAACTCTCTCCCGCCCCTCGCCCCGGGCCCCAGGTTCATTTTTCACAACCTATCTTGTTCACTTAGGGATTTATTTTTTGCACAATGGACTGAATGAAAAACTCCCTGGCAAAGAATAAGTGCAAAACAGGTATCAGACAGTGAGAACATCACCTTCTTCTGGGTTCAGCAATTCCAACATCCTAACTTGCAGAACAGAGATAGTTCTTCAGTGGAAAAGTGGGAAGCAGAGTGGTTCTCAAGGTTCAGAACAGGTGGAAAGTAACCCACTCCTGTCCCTCCTCTCTTGTCCCCCGGCCTCTACTCCACTCTGTCTGGGATGGAGAAGGCTTCTCCAGCCGCAAAAGGGAGACTTGCGCTCAGATGCTGCTCCGCAGGCCGGGTGTAGCCGCGCGCGCCAGCAAAGCTCAACCGGGGCGGCGGGTGGGTAGAAACCGGGAGGGGAAGGTCTGGGGGTGTGAGGGTGGAGCGGAGCCCGGCCCCGCGATCCGGCCCGGGTTTTGCATGCCACCCACTCGCCCGCTCGGCCGCGGAGAATTCCATAATCACAGCGGGCGAGAGCGGAGACTGGGAGCGAAAAATCCGGGATCCGGCAACTTTGGGCAGCGCATGCGCGCCCGCAGCGCTCCATCCCAAACACACACACATTTTTCCCCCGGACTTGGAAAGTCACCCAAAGCCGCCCCAAGTGCAGGTAAGAGACTCGACGCTCCCTCCGCCGCGCCCCCCCGACCCCCTCAGCTCCGCGGCCCTCCCGGGGTGCTTCCCCGCCTCGCCCCCAGTCCGGGTGCAGTCCCCCACCCCCGGGGCTGCCGCTTGCAGCCGGGAGCGGGCGAGCGAGCGAGCGATCGAGAGAGCCAGCCAGCCAGCCAGCCTGCGCGCGGCGGCTGCCACCCAACTCCGGCCGTGCGGGAGGCAGGGGGCACGGAGGGCTGGCACCCGGGCGCAGGGCGGCGCGTCGCCCTCCGCGGCCAGGGAATGCCCAGCGCGCGATTCCGGGGAAGGAGAGGGCTGCTGCTCCTGGGGGTCACTTACTCCAACTGAGGGGGCGGCGGGGTAGCGGAGAAGAGGGGGAGGCGCCAGGCGCCAGTGCAGGACTTTGCAAATAGGGTGGGGGCGCAACCCGCGGTGCGGGCTCGGGGCGGGGGCGGGGGGCAGGTGCTCGCGAATACCCGGTAATCACTCCTTCCCCCTAAGCTCCCCCCGAGTCCCCCGAGCTGCAGGGGTTCGTGCGCTCTCCGGGGCAGAGAAGGAGGCAGGGGTGAGGGGCGCCTGGGGTGACTTTGCAGGACTTTGTTCAAGGGAAGGGGTGGGTGGGGAGCCCCTCCAACTGACTCTTGTGCCCCAATACTGGGGTGTAAGTGCTACCGGCAGAGGTAGGCAGTGTTCACTGTGGGGTGCCAAGGGGTGCCTCCTGGTGGGAAAACGAAGGCGAGAGGTTGCTTGGCTGGAGGGGGGGAACGGCGCCCCTGTTTTCATTTGTGCCTGGGAAGTTTGTCTTAAGTGCGCTGCTCCGGGCGAGGCAAGTGGCGCTCCTCACTGACCCCCACCCCCACCCCAGCCTCCCCCGGTGCAGGGCTGGCATGGCTGGGCACAGGGAGCCAGGGCGCCGGCTCAGGGCCGTATGACTGTCGGCCGGAGCCCGCTTGGGTCCCGGGAAAAGTTCGGGGGAGTTGCCGCGGTTGTCGTGTGCGCTGGGAGAGAAGTTGCGTCCGGGGACTTGGGACGCCGGGCTGGCAGGCGGGTGGGCGGGTGGAGCCGTGCACTCCTAGGGGGCTCTGCCGAGGTGGGCGAAGGTCTGGTGGGGTCTCTACCCCCCAGAGTGGGCTGAGGGTTACCTCGGGGCTCAAGAGTTGGAGAAGGGGAGCCCTGAATCCAGGGGCGCACGGCTGAAATAGGCACCAGGAGGAGGACCGAGAATGGTAGCTTGTGGGAATACAGGGGGGCACCGAAGGGGAGAGGGCCGGGCCGCCTGGCCACTTGGGGTCGAGTTTCAGGGCAAAGGAGCGCGCGGTGGCTCGCGGAGGAGTGTCGGGGAGCGGGGCTCCAGGGGGCGCACCGGAATGGGGGATCCGGCCGGCCGGACAGTCCCGGGGCAGGGGGCCGAGTCGTGCGCCCGGGGTGAGCCGGCCGGGCGGAGCGGCGGCCGGTTTATTTTTACTCGGTGGCATTTGCAGAATGTGCAGCTGATGGCCGTCGGCCGCCAGGAAGTTTTGCTTTCTGTTCTTTCTCTCTTTCCGAAGCCAGCGCGGCCGGGAGCGGGCGGGCCGGGGAACCGGGCCTGGGAGGGGAGGGGGCGGGCGCTAGGGTGGCAAGGTACGAGGCAGGGGTGCACTAGGGCGGCGGGCGGGGGCTGGCCGGGCGAGGGCGGCGGGCGGGTTCTGGGCCGCTGCAGAGCTTTGGGGCGAATGTCTGTCCCCAGCGTTGGAAGCTCCTCGGCGAGGGGAACAGGTGTATGCGCCGTCAATCACGGCGGGAGGGACACTTTGGGGGCGTAGATTAAGATAATAATAATAGATTTTTCTCTAGGGGGTGGGCGCAGATTCTTCTTCCAAGCCATCCCCGACCCGGGTCCGGAGTTGGGGGAGGAAAGCAGTGCCGAGGGAGTCAGGGGTCCGCTTCACCCTTCCACACAAGTTCCTCCTGACCAGCCTCAGCTTGGGAAGTGGGCCCTGGGTGCGGCGAGGACCTCCTTCCAGTCACGCTGGGGAGGGTGCGGGCGCATGTACGGTGTGTATGACTTGTCCACCAGCGAAGCAGCAACAACACCCCTCCAACGAGCCTGGAGCTCCCCCAAACGCGGCTGGACCGAGGGGGTGACTCCGGGTTATGGGTCTCTGCCCCGACGGAGTCTGAGGCCACGACCCTTAGAGTGTGTGGTTGTCCCGCCAACATCCCATACACGCAGAAATAGGGGCGGCGAGGGGGAAAAGGCCAGGGTAGTCGTAGGGCAAAGTTGGTAAATTTAGGGTGCCTCTAAGTTGGTACAGACGCGCGATGAGAGCGCGCGAGGGGACTGGAAAACAGATCGCCGGGTAAATTGGTGTGCCCCCCCCCACCCCCCGCCCTGGCCACGGCGCGCGCGCACACACACACACACACCACACACCACACACACACACACACACACACACACACACACACACACACACACACGTCGCCGTCCTAAAGGGAGCTGTCCGGGCTGAGCGGGAGCAGCTGCGCCGGGCGTGGTGAGGGGGGTAGTTGGTCCCCGGGGGCTGCGCCCGGGCTGCGCTCCACGTGCCCAGAGGGGGCGCTGGGCCACTCGGCGCCCGAGCGCAAAGCTCCGGGTTTGCGCCCTGGTGGCGGCGAGGCTGTGCGTCCCGGGCGGGCGTCGCGTCCCGCGCCATCTCCGGCGATTCGCACTGCCTCCGCTGACGCCCAGCCGCTTTCCCACTTCCCAAACTTCGGCGTTCTGGCTTTCACCTCACTGGAGCTCTGAGACTCTGTCCAGGGCAAGGTGGGAAACTTTTCCCTTCCCGGCAGCGGCCACCGTCTCTCTCCCTGGAATCCTGCGAATTGGAGAGATTGACACCACCACCCCCATCTTGTTAGCCACCTTAGAGGCGGTTAACGAGAGTTTATGGGGAATATTGTTGAACTTCAGTAATCAGGTTTCCAGCGATCTTATGCCTCCTGTTTAATTTATTAGACTAGTTATTTATTCTGTTGATGATAATCTGTTGCTGGTTTCTATGGAGATGTTAAACTGATCTCTTTCAGAAATCAAACTCCATATGCACTAAAACGTTTAAAGGGGCAGTACCTCCCTCCTTTTTCAGCCCCCCTGCCTTTTTTTGTTTTGTTTTTTAGACTTTGCACCTTGCAGACACTTCGCGTCTTTCTCTGAGTCTCGGTGCATTTTATTTCCTTCTTACGAAGGAGAGGAGCCCGGAGACTCACGCTTTGTGGCAAGTACTGCTTATTATGGCTAGAAGAAAGCCAAGGCTTTGATCCCTAAGTTGCATCATCATTTAAAACAGATCATTTCACCACCACCCTCTTCTCCCCCATAATATAAGAGCAAAATTCTTTCAAGATCAAAGAATCCAATCTTAAAAAAAAACAACACAACACTATTGTTAAAAAAAATAGGAAGTCAGTCAAATGTGAAGCTCTCCTATATATCTGCTCTCCTTGTGTTTAAAGAATTTTTTAATAAGAAAAATAAAACGTAGCTCAGCTAATTTTTTATACTTATTAATAGTTTATCTTGCCCCCCCCCACACTTTTTTTTTTAATTTAAAAAGAAGTTCAAAGTTAGATTTCTCTGCCTGTGGGGGTTGAGGTATATTTGCTTCTCATTTAGATCCTGACCATCTGTTTTTGGAAAACTAGCCTCTGGGAAGAGGGGGAAAGGAGTTTTTACTCAAACTTAATGGAGTACTTTAAAAAAAAATACCCAAATATTTTAAAGTCTTCATTTTTCTACTTTTTAGGAGAATATCAGTAACCTCTGTCTGGTGTGTGAAAGCATATCAACTTTTCCCCCCTTTTCCTCTTTTCCTCTCCTCAGGTATTTTTCTGTAGACTTGTGACTTTGAAGGGAGTGGGTGCGATGAATTACGAAAGTAAAGCAGAAAAAAATTATCTTGGTTTGTGACACTCTGAAGAATTGCAAACCCACTCTAAACTCAGATATTTATCACGCTGACAGATATGATACAAAGCAATTGCATTTCCTAATGATCCTCTGGGACTAAGTTGTAGGTAAAACCATTTAATGCATTTTTAATATTAAAGTAAGGCCTGGGTTCCATCTTCTTGAAGGTAAGGAGAGTGGATGTCCCTCTCTGGAGCTGATGCTTTCAGAGTATACTGTTTTGCTTTTTCAACTTGAGCCCCCCACTTCCACTCCTTGATATCTCCACTTACTTTGGGGAGAGTTGAGCCGCACACAGGGCATTTGGCTTTATAAATAAATTTATATCTGGCCAGAAGGTCCAATGCTAAATAAGAGAACACTTTTTAAAAAAAGAAGAAAAAACAAACCTCAGACTCCACCCCTGCTATAGGAAATAAAACAGAGGCAATATTTTTTTTTTCTCCTTCTATCATCCTGGTTCTCTTTTATATTATTTTATTTTGGAAGAGGGTGGAGTGGTTGTTACTTCTTAGCTCAGAGGAGAGAGGAGTCATTCCTGTTATTTCCCTCTTTGCTATATTTTAAAAATTTGTTTGATTTGGATTGCAAACAGAACAGGCTTACGGGTAGAAAAGAGCACTGTGGCTTTAAACTCACGAGTTTGCATATTCTCCTTGTATCTTTCCCCTTTGCTAATTATTGTGTTGTTTTCAGAGCAAATATGTCATATCCATGGCGACCGGGCAGGTTTATTGTCTTTCTGAAGCAATAGCTCACATAAGTAATTAATGACTTTCTTTTTTTTCCTCTGGCTTAGGTTAAACAGATCATTCAAGGAAAGTCATATCTCTCTTCTCTCTCTCTCTTTCTCTCGCTCTCTTTTTTAGCCCAGTGACATAAGAACATGAGTTAGAACAAGAAAATACTTTAACCAAGAAGTCAACAGCTTATTTTCCTCCATTTCTTTTAAAAGCTAAAGTGTCAGCTTTCAGACATATGAGGCTGTCATTCTTGCAGCCGAGAGCAGTGCAGTCCACGCCTGGCTTGGAAATTCATCTGAAGGTTGTACAGCAGGGGAAGTCTTGGCG